TTTCACATAGAGCTCCCTGACTCATAGGAAGCATTTAAAAAGTGTTTGTTGAGGGGAAGAAGAAGATACAAAAGAGGAAATCATCTGAAACTACAGTATACTGTGTGCATACACACACACATGCACACACATATATATAAGTGTGGTTGAATTAAATTAAAACTTGAAATTTGAAGTTATATACTGAGCTTTTAAAAATGAGCTTATGAAATACCAACTCATAATGTAAGTCATAATTCATGAAATATTTGGTCCAAATCAAGAAAATCTCCAATTACTTTCCTTTTAATCTGAAACAGTGCTTTGAATTTTCTCTTCATGAAGTGTGATTATTTGACAAAAAGATAGTAGATATTATGAATTTTTTTAACCTTCTACAATCAAATTATTGATGTTATTAATCAGTTTCAATAAATCTGATGTTTCCTATCATCTCCTTGGCTTATTCCTGGGAGTTGAACAACCCCCTTGGCTCCACCGAAAGATGCTGTCAGACTTCTAAGTGTACAGTTCACAGAGCCTGCCACCAGAGGGCAATAAAAAAGTTGACTACTGAAACCCTGTAATGAAAATGGAGCTTAAATAACATTTCACAGTATGCTTTTCTGACCAATGTTCTATGCAATAACTTAATGTATTATATATACATGGATTATGAAAAGTCAGAAACACACCTCACTGGTCAATTTCTATTGCAAGGAGAAGGTAATCCAAGCATAAATAATTGTGTATTTACATCTTAAAATTGTACCTCTGCTGAACCTAGTTGCTATTGAAATATTGTAGGAATAATAGCTCTCTGCGACTCAGTGACCATCCAACCATTATCAAGAGTAGAATTTATCTTCCAATGATGTTAACACTCATAGGAAAAAATGCATATCTAGGAAAATGGATAAACTCTTTGAGTTACAGAGAAAAAAAATAAATAATTCTTCCAGGAGAAAAGCATGAAATCTAGTAGACACAATTTGCCCTGTAATACCGTAGACATAAACATAAAGAATGTAAGAAGCATTTTTAAAAAATAAATGGAGGGAGAAGAAAATTATTTGGATGGAGAAGAAAGGAGAATTTTTTTTAATTTGTATGTTTTAGTTATTCATTTGTTTATTTAATATGTTTTTGTCTTTGGAATATAAGGAAACAATGGCTTTCACACAAGAATTCTAATAGAACAAAACAACAACCACCACCACCAGAACAACAACTGCAGTACAGGCAGTGATTGAATACCTTGTAATAATGCTGAGGGAAAATAGAGCCAAATCACTTGAACTGCAAACATCCTCTCTGAAAATAAGCTTATGAGATCTATCTTAATTTAGAAAGATAATTTAAATTGTATAATTTAAATTGTAAGATAATTGTATTTCTTCAGATAGGTCAAATAAATAATCTTATGGTTATAAACTATTCTATACACCTATAATTTAGAACATACCTCTAAAAGAGGAAATCTGAGTGATGATTTTCCCAGACTTCATACTTAAGGCTTACATTTTAGATAAGAAGCATCTTCAGTCAAATACACTGCCATGGGTTCCTTGTTAGTTTCTCTCCAGTAATGACAGCTGAAAAGAGTTCCTCTTTTCTTCCCACATACATATTAGGAAATGGAGATAGGTGTGAGAGAAACTATCTAAAGGGAGGATAATAATTAACACTTAAAAAAAAAACCCTTCTATTTATATAAAGTATTTCCATTAAACAATGCTTAATATCAGCTTTAGAAATCTGGAGTAACAAATATTTTAAAGATTGTACATTAATTATGATTGGCTATGTTATGTTCCCTTCTATCAAATTTGGATTGGAAGATTGTATATGTGTGTGTGCATATATATTATATGAATATAATTTCAACAATGAATCTAAGTACATTTCTTTTGGGTAACTATCTTATTCTTCTGTAAATGTGCTATAAAAACACACACAGTATGCTTAGTAGGATTTCAATAAAATTTGATTAGCCATATTCCTGACTAAAATAATATATACAAGAGGTTCATGCCTATTGTAAATTATGCTGAACAGTAATACTTTTTACATGTAATAAAAATGTATAATAATATAATGTATATTAATAATATAATTTTTTAATTTTATAAAAACTATAAGTTGCAATTAATGATTAACTGTTGTTTTATTACCCTTAAAATCATGAATGTCATTACAATGTCTTCTTCCAATATTTCTTTCATCTTTGGGTAAAGAAAAAACTCACTGGGGTCCAGATCAGGTGAGTAGAGAGGGTGTTCCAGTAC